GCAGGTATTTGGTCATAAACTTAAAGTGTTGGACAAATCAAGAAAATTGACTTGATGATGACGCTAGTTGAAAAGTCGGGATCCAAGTTATTACAATTTATCCTGACGTGAACGTGATTGTATGTATCAAATGTCATGGAGATTTACTCTTTAGTGTTGGAGATATCTCACTCAAAACCAGAAAAGTGAACCTCGTGGTGGCACAATCGAAAAAGGTCGAGGAATCAGTCGGAAGTTGTTAGGATACATCATCTGGGAACTGTGAATGTTTGTACCACCGTCCTCTACATCCATGTTGTAGTTGCTGAGGTATTTCACTGGATTAATGAAAACTTAGATCTGCTAGAAGAAAAGTCAGTGAATCACCAAAGTCATTTGATTCATCCTCTGGGCGCCATGAATGTCTGTACAAAGGTTCTTGGCAATCCATCTAAGAGTTGCTGAGATTGAGGCTGATGGGAATGTCATTAGTTCTGATGGTGTTACAGGTAAAGTTAAGGGATCGAAGGTGTAAGTTTTTTTTATGAAATTCCATTTAATATTTGTTGAGATAGTCTGGACTAAACGCGGTGGATCAGCATTGCCAACCCTAGAGCTACACTGCTAGCTTTATGTTCATCAGAAAAATGAACCAAAGGGGCTTTTGACCCTTGATTTAGTTAAAAAAAAAAACTCCCTAAAAAATTGCATGACAGCTTGTGAAGTGAAGACTGAATGACTGACAGAAAGAGGACATTTTATTTAGAGGATTTTCTCTATAGGTTATCGCCAACAAATCCTGCCGCTTCTTTCTGATGTCGTTCTGTATCTTGAAAGCCAAAGTGTATGTCAGTCATTTCAACACCTTCCTGTTTGGTGATATCGATGCCAACTTTGGGTGAATTTTCAGAGGGGCAGCGGCAGAACAATCTTCACAGCTGCTCTCTTATCACCAGTGTCAGAAAAAGTCTACATTAACACTGAAAAACACCCGGAAAATATCAACTTTCCCATCCCGGGCAGAAGACCTCCCTTAAACAAAGTTATCAAGGAAGTTCCAGGAAAAGGGAAAATCTGGTTTCTGCCTCTTGCAGCAGAAAGTCCGAGCTGATGGGAAACTGTGGGGGGGAATGTGACTATGACGGTGTGAGCAGGTTTTATAATTGTAAGTAAATGTCCCTCATGACTGGTAGAGAGTGGTACACCATGAGGTGGAATGCAGCCCCCCATGGGCCCCTCACGCTACCCAGTATGTGCTCAGGATGGACTTCGCACCTTCCTTCAGCCCGGCCAAAACAGCAAGTGGCCAAAACAGGAAAAAGCCAGCCTGTGCTTGCACTGTTTCTTTTCCTGTGTGTTTTTTTTTTAAATGCCACGCAGTATTAACGAAGGCCCTCAGCTGCTTTTGAAATTACTTTCATTTAAGCTGAGAAGGGGGCTCACAAACAGGAACCACGGGGGGAGGTGCAACGCTGAAGCGAAAGCTATTCAATCAAGAAGAAAAATAAATTCCCCCCCCTCAGCCACTTATGATCCTATCAGCTAAAGAGAGTTCCCATAGGACCAGAAGGGGCCTGGGCTAGTTGTGCAGAAAGAAAAAAAACTCTCTCCCATTCAAGTTGTTGACATTTGAATGCCATTGTACTGTATACAGTAGTATCAGAGCAGCCCCTGTTTGCCCACTGGGGGGGTATCCACATGGTATGATATACCATGTGGTGCCTCAGGTAAACAAAAGCCTTTGCACCTCCACCTGCCCTGACCGCACAGGAAAAGCAGATAGAAGAAGAAGAGGGGGCGTTGGTAATGAATAACTAACCATTGTGATGATTAAAGGGGACGATGGGCATGGGGAGATAAGAGTGTGGTGGCCGTCCAAGCATGAGGTGTTTACAGGGGGAATTCCTTGCATTCCTCAGCTGCAGCCATGCCACTCCAATCTGCACCTCCACCCACTGATGGTCACCCTCTGTGCCAAGAGGGACCCGAGGGGTGAAAAGGGCCCGATAAGTTCCTCCTCAGGAAATAACCCCTGTAATTGTGTTACGCAAAAGGCGACTTTCGAGCGTTGCTTTATAGATTTTCGGGAGTGTTTGATAGAGCTAATGCGGCAGGCCGAAGAACATGTGCAGTAGATTCCTAGGGAGTTAAAAATTCACACAAAGGCTTGGTTTGAGCTTTGAGAGGAAAGAAAGGAGGGTTTTGAGTTAAAGCTGGAGTTTACACACATTCAAGTGCCAACAAAATGATCTTTTATCGTACGCTTCACTTTGTTGTAGTTGGTAAAAATCCAGTACAAATGTGATAGCCAATTAATTACTGAAGTGATAAAATTAGATGTCATTGGCATTGTGAACCGAGCTATTTCTTGATAGCTGTGTATGTTGAGGATCCCCAACCATGGCAAAAGAGTAGTCCTCCTCCGAGGAAGTCTGTTTGTTGGTCCACCACTTTGGTCCAGACTGAAAATCTCAACTATCTGATGGATTGCCATGAAATTTACATTCACGGGGGCCAGATGACGAATCCTAATGACTTTGACGCTCTGCTGACCTTTTTTGTGGCTTGTTTTTAGTTTTGAATGACATTTCTAAACCATTAGATGAATTGCCATGAAATTTGATGCAGACATTCACATTCCCTTCAGGATGAATTGTGATAGCTTTGATCTCCTGACAGTTTTTTTTTATTTGTCCAAGTTTATGACCAAATACCTGCAAAAATTACATTCCCCTCAGCCTCATCTAGTTTCCTCCTACTTTGTCATACATGATTCTAATAAAAAAACATTTATTCAGAATAAAAACAGTATGTATTTTAGCTCTAGCTTTAACAAAGGGCTGCTTTGTGGTCAAATATTTCACCTGCTTATGTCAAACTACAGGATGATCCCTCGGTGCTGCGCCTTAATTCCCAATGGATTTCTCAGTGTCTAAAGTGTTACACAGCTCCCACACAAGTCTGCATAAGCTCTGAGGCAAGCATCCAGGATGGAGAAGAGAGTAATATTTTATTGTCAGGCAATAAATCAACCTAAATATGTGCTTATATTTAAAGGGTTTTTTTGTAATATACTAAGTGCAATGGCTTAAAAAATCTCTTGTGCTTTTGGGAAAGTCAAAGCAAGTCATAAGGCTGGGCTTAACTTTAGGCTTTATCCCTTCAGTCTATAAAACAATTCCCTGCTCTTTTTTTGTCAGAGGCAAGACTTTTAAGCTTGGCAGTTTATAACTTCACAACAACTATTTTCCTTCCTCCAGTCTGTTTGAGGACAGTTAGTGATGTTAACATCTGAAACCTCTTTTAATCCAACAGTCTTGTCACATAAAAAATATTTACCCAAA